CACACACACACACACACACACAAACACTCACTAAAACCCATGCATGGCATGCAGTCAGGTGTACATGATGTGTACCTGTATGGCACGAGGGTTTTAATATTTTATTTCATTTTTTCAGAGGTGGATTTGGTGGTGTTTTGGATCATTGTCCTGCTATTTGTGTACCTACTTTTGCACCCGACTGTATATATAGAGGGAGAAAGGCAGACATACAGTATAGTGATCCCTCGCTATTTCACGCTTTGATTATCGCGGCCTAGGTGCATCACAAGTTTTTTTGTTTTTTTTTCCCAAAGTACTGTATTCAGAAAAAAATGCAGAATGACTCAGAGGTTTTGCGCATGGCTGTAACTTGATTGGTTCCCAGCGCCGACATCAACCAATAACAGCATGAGTGGATCTATCCCATGATGCACAGCCATGTTGATTGGCTGTGCATCTTCTCAGCCCCGCTCAGCAACCTCCCTTCTGTCTTACCACGTGGGGTTACTCTTTGATCAGTGTCAAATCAAGTGGTTGCCTAGATTAGTTTTATATTGACTAAGCATGTTAGTTAAAACCTGTCAGGTTTCGGACAAGCCGAAATAAGTTTGGATCCCAAAAGTGTAGACTCCAACAAGGTCTCCGTTACAAAAATGTTTAATACAAAAATTCGCACCGACAAAGTAGAACATAAAGCACTGGTCCAAACAAGGACCAGGAAGAACAAAACAAAAACGAATAACAAAAAGCGCTTGCACAAAAAGGCAAGAGAGGAAAACTAGTCCCGAGAATACAAACGAAAAACAATGTATCAACTACACACAAGAAAAAGCCAATTCACAAAACAAAGCCATACATACAAGAACAATGTTACCGAGGGTATCAAAAGCGTGAACACGACGATGTCTATAGCAAAAGCGGTCTGAGAGCATGGAAACAGCAAGGCAATAAACAATACTCCGACACAGGTGAACTGAAGCAGAGTCCTTAAATACAGAGTCCCCTAATGACTGGATTGGCAGCAGGTGTGCACAGAAGACCACACATGCCACCTGCTGGTCAGACCAGAAACCGAACCGTGACAAAACCCTTGTGGCATGCATTTGTTTTTGCCAATAAGAGGTGTTCACTTCTGGCACTTTCCTGCCTCTTGATGAGCATTTAGCATAACTAGTGTTACTTGTGAGCAATTAGTGTTTCACTTGTTCTACTAGTAAACATTTGGCTGTCATAAGTTAACTAGTTAAATTTAAAAAAACTAACTAGTTGAGTAGTGAGTAGGTTGTCACCCACTAGTTCCATTTTGGAGCTCACTAGTTGAACTAGTTAAGTGAAAATGTTGCACTAGTGGAACTAATGGATATTTGGGGCATTACTGGTTAAGAAGTAAAATGTTTACACTCACTAGTTCGATATCAAAGGTTTAAGGGGCTTAAACTAATTAACTAATCACTGTTTTATCCACTACTAGTTAACTAGTGGATATTTCAGCTCTCACTAGTTAACTAGTGCAGGAAATCGTGGGTCACTTGTTAACAATCCACATTTCACTCATTAACACACCAATGCTTTTTTATCTTACTAGTTAACTAGTAAGACTGGACTTTTTGATGGCCAAGTGTCCCATTGAACCTCACTAGTTTGGTCTCGTGCACGGGTGTCAAACTCATTTCACATGGTGGGCCACATACGGCCTCGGTAGATGTCAAGTGGGCCGGACCATTAAAATGATACCATACTTTGCTATAAATAACCAAAACAATGCCTTTCCTTTGTTTTGGTATAAAGAAGCACAAGAACATTAGGAAAATGTTGAAATTTAATGAACATATCTTTTACAAAATATTTCATGAAGCACCTTACATTTCCTTCGACAAATGTGCAATTTACTTTTATCATTCACATATATGCATTGCAAATGATCCCACTGATTGTACAAACATTAACAAGTAATTGGTGTTGAAAAATATAGTAATGCACTTTAAGATTAAACGAGATTCATAAAGAAAGGAAGTTTTAAACCATTTACACGTGCATATAAAATCTAAATGTAATCTTACAAACTAAGGAGAGTGCTATTAAATGTGTAAATGTGAGAGTGCTATTGATAGCGTCTGCTGTCATAGGTCTGTCACAGTGACGGACTGAGGCTGCTGTTGTCTTCTTCTCTGATCAAAACAGTGTCCCCTTGCGGATATTCAATGAATTGCACCTTATTAAAAATATTAATTCTGTCTTTAATGCATTTTTTTCACTTCTAAATTATCCTGCGGGCCTAATTGAACCTCCTTGCGGGCCGGTTCCGGCCCGCGGGCCGTATGTTTGACACCATGCTTTACATAATCATCTCGCGGGCCGGATTAAACTCCTTTGCGGGCCGGATCCGGCCCGCGGGCCGTATGTTTGACACCCCTGGTCTAGTGGGTCACTTGGCCATCAAAAAGCTGACTAGCTGGGAATTAGCCACGACTAGTGTGATTCCTGGTGTCACTAGTTCAACTTCTGTGAGCACTAGTTGCCACAAATACCAAACGTTTCTGTGCAGCTAGGACAAGAAAGTGCAGAACTAGTGTGGCTGAATATCCACCCAGTGTTGACACAGACCAAACTAGTGAAATGCACTAATGATATGGAATAAGTGCTAAAATGCGGCAGTTGTTAGTCAAGTTGGCGCCTCTCACTCTCCACGGACAGAATTCTCATGTTTTTGCACCATGGACTTGGGGTTAGTTTAGCAAGGCAAGTTTCGTCAAGATTGTCCCGTGACTCACTGATAACTCTCCCTGCGTAGAGATTCGCAGGCTTAGATTTGGCCCAGCTGGTATGCTGTGTAGATCACATTCAACAAGTAGACAAATATACTCCAATTTAATTGTGGCTTGTCTTAAACACCTCTTCATCTAGTATATACCTCTTTTTATCTACGCTGTGCTCTAAAAGACAGGGCAGATCTGGTGCATAAGTTAGGTTTCCTTGGTAACATGACACCGCCGGAGTTCCCAAAAAGAACACTGCATGGAACTAGTAGAGACTGAACGTGTGTTTATAAGTGAAAGACACAACTTAAGTTTGCCTCACATGAGGCACCATTTCTATAGCGCTAATGAGAAATGATTTATTTAATTAATTAACGGTGGCTGAATTTTACTGCCGGCATAAAGCTCAGCCGCCACTCAGGGCACCATGAGGTTTTTTTACTTTATTAAATTTACAAGGCTTAAACAGATGAAAAACCTCTGAAATCAGCCATTAATAAAAGGCTGTGACAGTAAGGGTTTTCATAGCTGGGAGGTAAATACATTTTATTTAAGCACAGACAGTGCACAATGCAGTTTAATGAGATGATGAGGTGACATGAGAATACATAAAATGACTAATTAGGGTGAAAAGATACAGAAGTGTCTTTTACTTTTATGTGCTTCCTATTAATTCTTTTGATTGATTCTAAAGAGCCTTAAAACAAGTGTGCACACCATACTGCTATCCATGATTATGTGAATATAGATGCCATTCTTTATATGTATCTTCTTTCTAACTGTTCAGTCCCAGGCCCATGTGACCCGGACGACCTTATTGATGGGATCATCTTTGCAGCAAACTACTTGGGTGACACTCAGATGCTATCAGTTAAGACTCCTACCAAGAACATCCGCATGATGCAAGCGCAGGAGGCTGTCACCCGCATCAAGGTGAAACACACTCAGCCAAGTCAGATTCACTTCCAGTTACACTCGTGCATTCAGACTTAGCTGCAGTGCAACGATTGAAGTTGTGCTTGTATCTTTGGCTACATGTCAGATATTTGAAGGACAGAGCTGTCAACGGTTCACCACTCTGTTGTGTATTAGCTCCAATAATGGAGAGGAAGATGATCTGGCATGGCTGTACAAAATGCATTGTGAGAGCTGCTGTTCATGTATTGGAACATATCTTGTAGTGATGGGTCGATGAGGCATCATGAAGCATATTGACACACTGTGTTGATACAGAATACTGACAAGTGCTGGACTTTAAAAATCCCTGCAGGCAACCCACTTGACAGACTGAACTGACACTGATTTGATGACCGAGTGCAGGGCTGGCTAACGCATAGCTCGCAAGCAGCATGCGGCTCTTTGGCTGGTTCAATGCCTCGGCAGTGGCGCTGCCATTCAAACAGCGCTAAGTACAGCAGAATTTACGATGTCAGCCTATCATCATTCCCGTTACTTGATTGACATACAGGGCAACCAGTCAGATAACAACTGAATTTTCACATTTACATCACCGCTCATGCACAAACAACGGCACTAAGCAATAAGCTAGTCAGCGAATTACCTCTGATTGTAAAGCAGGGGTGCCCAATACGTTGATCGCCTGAAATCAGCCATTAATAAAAGGCTGTGACAGTAAGGGTTTTCATAGCTGGGAGGTAAATACATTTTATTTAAGCACAGACAGTGCACAATGCAGTTTAATGAGATGATGAGGTGACATGAGAATACATAAAATGACTAATTAGGGTGAAAAGATACAGAAGTGTCTTTTACTTTTATGTGCTTCCTATTAATTCTTTTGATTGATTCTAAAGAGCCTTAAAACAAGTGTGCACACCATACTGCTATCCATGATTATGTGAATATAGATGCCATTCTTTATATGTATCTTCTTTCTAACTGTTCAGTCCCAGGCCCATGTGACCCGGACGACCTTATTGGTGGGATCATCTTTGCAGCAAACTACTTGGGTGACACTCAGATGCTATCAGTTAAGACTCCTACCAAGAACATCCGCATGATGCAAGCGCAGGAGGCTGTCACCCGCATCAAGGTGAAACACACTCAGCCAAGTCAGATTCACTTCCAGTTACACTCGTGCATTCAGACTTAGCTGCAGTGCAACGATTGAAGTTGTGCTTGTATCTTTGGCTACATGTCAGATATTTGAAGGACAGAGCTGTCAACGGTTCACCACTCTGTTGTGTATTAGCTCCAATAATGGAGAGGAAGATGATCTGGCATGGCTGTACAAAATGCATTGTGAGAGCTGCTGTTCATGTATTGGAACATATCTTGTAGTGATGGGTCGATGAGGCATCATGAAGCATATTGACACACTGTGTTGATACAGAATACTGACAAGTGCTGGACTTTAAAAATCCCTGCAGGCAACCCACTTGACAGACTGAACTGACACTGATTTGATGACCGAGTGCAGGGCTGGCTAACGCATAGCTCGCAAGCAGCATGCGGCTCTTTGGCTGGTTCAATGCCTCGGCAGTGGCGCTGCCATTCAAACAGCGCTAAGTACAGCAGAATTTACGATGTCAGCCTATCATCATTCCCGTTACTTGATTGACATACAGGGCAACCAGTCAGATAACAACTGAATTTTCACATTTACATCACCGCTCATGCACAAACAACGGCACTAAGCAATAAGCTAGTCAGCGAATTACCTCTGATTTTAAAGCAGGGGTGCCCAATACGTTGATCGCCATCAACCGGGTGCCAGTGGACTGGTCCCAAGTCAACCGCGAGGTTTGGGAGAACGAAATGGGGGCAAAAAGCTTAATGTGTCTGTGTATTTCAATTTTGTTCATGTTCGGTGACGTTCCGGCTGTTGCTCATCTTGGCGTGCGTGCGTGCGTGTATTTACGCACATGTGCATGATTGGACGCCCACGTGCGTGCGTGTGCATATGCTTACACATGCGTGATCCGGTCGATCGCGGGAGTTTGGTCACTTCAAAAGTCGATCTTCGGTCAAAAAAAGTGGCATGCTGACCCAAGTAGTAAGAAACCGCTGCAGCTCGCATGCAGACAGTGCCTGCTTCGAGTTACAACAACGGAATACACACCAGATTTGACAAGGATTGTTCAAGAGAAGGGTTGCCAGAAGTCTCTGCACGAAGGCGCGAAGCAGCATGCATAGGAAGAGAAAAACGTGCCATGTCATGGTTAAGTGATGGTACAAATATTAGAGTTAAATATGAATTGACCGAAGAACTAGAGCTAAATTCATCCTATGAAGGCACTTCCTAATTTGAACACTACATGTCGACAGAACAAATTGTCCATTGAGTGCTCCCATCTCACACAAGTCCATACACAGCTTAAAGTCTAAACATGTTTCAACAAGTACATACCAGAGCCAATGCCCTTAAAATGCCTTTACGGATGCCTAACAAAGATTAAAATGATGACAATAAAGCGTAATGCTTCAAGATGAGCTCCGTAGTTGGATTACACAGTTTTACAGTGTCTACTGTTAACTGTTGTTTTATGACTATAACTTTTATTTCTTTCTTGAATGTTGTAATGAAATAACAACATGGTATTATTCAGATATACTAAAATAGGTTTGTGTTACGATAGCCAATGCTTTGAAACTGCTTTGTATAACAATATCACCGGTGAGTGTTATTTACTTTCAAATTATGTCACCTGATGAACAAGAAGGAACAAGATCAAGACCTGTGTGTGTGTGTGTGTGTGTGTGTGTGTGTGTGTGTGTGTGTGTATATATATATATATATATATA